AAGCTGATCGTTTTGTGTTCATTTTGTTTAGTTCTTTTTTTTCGTAACAGATGTAATGTTTAGTATAGAGCTTATATGCCTTATAAATATTGCCTTTTCATATATATATATATATATATATATATATATATATATATATATATATATATATATATAAAGCAATTCATCCCAAGCAAGTTACAGGGAATGGAGTGTTTGGGAAAAGGTTAAAGTGAAGGACAGGGATCAAGGTCAAGGTATCAGAAATTTTCGATTGTCATTACATTTGAATACTTGAAGATTATAACTATCAGGGAAGCAAGTAAGAGGAAGGGAGTTTCACAGACGGGAAGTGTGAGATAAGAAGCTGATGGAGGAGAAGAGATGGCTACATTTAACCGTTTCGGCAGTGAAAATATGGGACCAAGATGTCAACCTAGTTGCACGCTTAAATTCGTGCAATTTGTGAACCAGTGAAAGTAGCTCGTATATATATATATATATATATATATATATAAGTAACGAAAATCTTGGTAATCCGTATGGATAATCTCAAGGAGGATGGAATCCTGAGAGCTCAATGTTAAGTCAGAGCGAATAATTTAATTTAAAGAAAAACAGACTACTTTAAGGCTCCATTTGTTATAATTTATTTCACCAGAGAATTTTATTTTTTTCTGGATTCTCAGACTTCACTTTCAAAGGTGAAATGAAAAATGAATTTAAAATTTTCACTTTTTACGGGCAGTATTAAGCTTATATAATTTGATATAGAGTGTGGTGAGGAATGGTATGAGATACATAGTCTAGTTTAGAGAGGGAAGGGAGTGTTTTAAAATTTATTTTTATATTTCTTTTTATTATAATAGTTAATATTGAGGAAAGAGGGGGTAGGGATATGACATTAATCTATTTAATCCGTCAACTCAACGGAAATGATATGGGACAATGAAAAGGAGAAAAAACGGAAAAAGAAAAGAAAACTGCATATATATATATGGTAAATGCAAAATTTAAAAAAAACAGAGAATTTACTTAAATTGTATCTATAAAATAACGTATAAACAGGATATATATATATATATATATATATATATATATATATATATATATATATATATATATATATAGTTAAATCTAGAGAACCAGGTAAACCGACCAAGGTTTCATCTAAGCGGATCGCCAGGGAAAGCTGGCCAAAATGTAACAAAAGAACGGAATACTTATAGTCAATAACCAAAAAAAACAAAAAACGTAATATATATATATATATATATATATATATATATATATATATATATATATATATATATATATATATATATGTTTGTGTGTGTGCAGATATGTATCAAAATAGGAAAGAACACGTTAGGTAAATAATCCAGAGTATTTTTTGTTTTTATTTAAAAAAAAAACAGTGCTTCATACAGAAGTAGAGCTTAAATTATAATTATTTTAAAAAAAAAATGATTCCTTCGCTACATAAGAGTTCTCATGTTTCAAAAACGAGAGCCGAAAAACTAAATAAAATTATTAAAATTAAATTGAATTAAAATATCAATCCCTGTTTCATCCTCAAGCGAAAATTTAGGACAATTGAGGTTTTCGGTTCTCGTTTTTGAAACATGAGAACTCTTATGTAGCGAAGGAATCATATTTTTTTAAAATAATTATATATATATATATATATATATATATATATATATAATTATCCAACTGTCAGATCAAAACAAAAATTACATCTTGTTGATACACCTGAGCTAGAGCTCGCCTTTCATAAACAATTGTTAAGGGTTTTTATTTTTGTGTCGAGATTTTATATCGACCGCATGAAGTTATTTGAACTATTGGCAAATAGGCCCCGTCTTTTTACTGGTGAAACAGCCAGAGCGAATCCATAGACGCAGCTATGTCGAAGGGCAAAGTCTTGTCTCGGGAAACAGATACCCGACACCGTTTTATACGGGGTCTACGGGAAATTTTTCACCGAGGATACAGGCTCGGATCCTCCACATTAAATTCGGCCTTGTGCTACATCTGACCGCGTGGGGCAGCTGGTAGATATCCTGTACGTGGAGATTCGTCTCCAGCTGTGCAGCTCAAACTCTCTGCTTCCGGGCAGAGAGGATCCCCAGACGAAGCTATGTCGAAGGACAAACTCTCGACTCGGGAAACAGCTACCCGACCCTGTTTTATACAAGATCTACGATGAAACTTTGGCCGAGACTGCAGTTAGAGATTCATTGTAGAATTCACTTGACTTGAAAGAGAAAAAAAAAAAACAAAATAAGAAAAAAAAAGAAGAAAGAAGAAAAAAGAAAAATAAGAAAAAAACAAAATAAGAATGAAGAAAAAAGAAAAAATAGAAAAAAAACAAAAGAAGAAAAAAGAAAAATAAGAAAAAAAAACAAGAGAAGAAAAAAGAAAAATAAGAAAAAAAACAAAAGAAGAAAAAATAAAAATAAAAAAAACAAAATAAGAAAGAAGAAAAAAGATAAATAAGAAAAAAAAAATAAAAAAAGAAAAAATAGAAAAAAAACAAAAGAAGAAAAAAGAAAAATAAGAAAAAAAAACAAAAGAAGAAAAAAGAAAAATAAGAAAAAAAACAAAAGAAGAAAAAATAAAAATAAAAAAATAAATAAGAAAAAAAAAAGATAAATAAGAAAAAAAAATAAAAAAATAAAAAATAGAAAAAAACAAAAGAAGAAAAATAAGAAAAAAAAACAAAAGAAGAAAAAAGAAAAATAAGAAAAAAAAATAAGAAAGAAGAAAAAAGAAAAATAAGAAAAAAAATAAGAAAAAAGAAAAATTAGAAAAAAAAAAAGAAGAAAAAAGAAAAATAAGACAAAAAATAAGAAAAAAGAAAAATTAGAAAAAAAACAAAAGAAGAAAAAAGAAAAATAAGAAAAAAAAAAAACAAAATAAGAAAGAAGAAATGTAAGAAAAAAGGAATAAAAGAAAAATAGGAAAAAAAGAGAAAAAAAGACAAAAGAAGAAAAATGAGAAAAAGTACAATAAGAAAAAAGAAGAAAGGGAAAAAGAACAATAAGAAAAGAAAGAAGAAAAAAATCCGAAAAAAGACTAAAGAAAAATAAGGAAAAAATAATAAGAAAAAGAAAGGAAAATGCAAACTCATCGACATGCCTGTTATTCGTGATAATAATATCAGGATCAAAGAAAGAAGCAAACTGACCACTTATTTCAAGGCGAAAGTTGTTAATATGTTTTCCTAGATTTTTTTTTTTGTTGAATTAAAGCTGACAATTCAACATGAACTAAGAAATATAAAGTAAAGATACCGAATTAATATTAACAGCTTTTTTTTAAAAGTCACTCGTTTTCTTTCTTCTTTAATAACGCGAAGTGCATACACACATTTCTTTCTTTCGTTTTTGGATCTGATGAAGCCTAGAAAGGCGAAACGCGTAATCAAAACTATTTTCAATGAAACGTTTTCCATTAGTCAAATCTCCTGAAAATTTTGTCGGGACACTATATCCTGTTTTAGAAACATAGACACAGACATTACCCCCCCCCATATATATATATATATATATATATATATATATATATATATATATATATATATATGGAGAGAGACAGAGACAGAGATACAGAGAGAGAGAGAGAGAGAAAGAGAGACAGAGATAGCTAAAACATAAATCTTTTACTTCCAAACCATTCTGAATCATTGAATGAGGATTTGCCTTGGAATCATTTTCGAAAAGGCAATATGAATTTCTTGCTTTCAAGCCATTCTGAAAATGAGATGAGGATTTACCTTTGATTAGATACAAAAAAAAAAGCTGAGAAAAATATATTATCAACTCTCGACATGAACAGAAAATTATGAAGAAAACATACAGAAAAAATATTAACGGCTTTTATAAAAGTCACACATTTTTTAATCACGAGAAACGACAGCTTAGGGGAAAAAAGTACTCATGATTCATTATTTAAGCATATGCACAAATACACATACACAGATTTCTTTCTTTCGCTTTTGGATGTGATGAAGCCTAGAAAAGCGAAACGAGTAATCAAACCTAGTTCTAATTAAACGCTTTCCATTTGTCAAATTTCTTAAAAACTTTGTCGGGATTCTATATCCTATTTTAAAAACATATATATGAATACATACATGCAAGGCATCTGAACTGGAAATTGAAGGTTTTGAGGAACGTGGAAAACTTTCACATTATATATATATATATATATATATATATATCAGTGTGTGTGTATGTGTGTGTGGAGAGAGAGAGAGAGAGAGAGAGAGAGAGAGAGAGAGAGAGAGATAGATATATAACGAAAACATACAGAATAAATATTGAGGGCTTTTATAAAAGTCACACATTTTCTTTCTTCTTTAATCACGAGAAACATTCATTATTTAAGCATAGACACAAATACATACACACACATTTCTTTCTTTCGCTTTTGGATCTGATGAAGCCTAGAAAGGCGAAACGAGTAATCAACTCTAGCATCAATGAAACGGTTTTCCATCTGTCATTTGGACTGTGCAAACTAATAACGTTCGATCATGTAATCGTAATTAAGAGTTGGCTGATCATTTCTCAGTATGGCCATCGTATAGGATGGTTGACTAATCCTCGTTGCAGACATCTGCTCAGGCACACTTTTTTTTGTTCAGTAACTGCGTAGAAATTTTAGGTTTAAAGCTTCAACTATCCTGGGTGGGTGGGTGGATGGTGTGTCAATGTGTCAAAGTTGTATTAAACTTACAGCAACCGCCGTTGTCTAACTCCTTTGCATTAGCAGAAGAAAAATAGGGCGAAGCTTTGCCGAAGGGCAAGGTTTCATCGTTACACACATAAGGTATGAAGCTCTCGAACCCGCCTGTGACCGGGCCTACGGGCTCGGATAACCCACATTAAACTCGGCCTTGTGCAATTACATTTAACCCAACGGGTTTACATCTGACAGCTAAATATCTAGTTGACAAAGTCTCGAAAATGAGAAATATAACAGATAAGTTGATTTCACTTACGCACAAATTTTACGGCCATATCACGTTGAAACACCAGTTCATGTTCCCGTTCCCCGAAGTTAAGCAATGTTGAGTCTGGTTAGTAACAAGGTAGGTGACCGCTTGTGAATTTAGGTTGTGTAAGCTTAGAGATGCAGGAAGCATAAAACAGGAGTCGGCAACATATGGCACGCGTGCTATACGTAGCACGCCAGATAATTTCCAATGGCACGCAGCTGCAAATGACATCACAAAGTTCTTTCAATTTTAATATATACGAAAGTATATATACTATATATTACTGTATAAAATATATTGTAAAACAGGTATATTGACCTTGACTTGTATAAAAATACGTCTGCTATTGGCACACTGAATGATTTTAAAACCCTAAGTCGGCACATAGTTAGCAAAGGGCTGCCGACCCCTGGTGTAAGGGATAATTTCCCGGAAATTTTAATCACGAGAAACGCCAGCTTAGGGAAAAAAAAGTACTCATGATTCATTATTTAAGCATATGCACAAATACACATACACAGATATCTTTCTTTCTCTTTTGGATGTGATGAAGCCTAGAAAAGCGAAACGAGTAATCAAACCTAGTTCTAATTAAACGCTTTCCATTTGTCAAATTTCTTAAAAACTTTGTCGGGATTCTATATCCTATTTTAAAAACATATATATGAATACATACATGCAAGGCATCTGAACTGGAAATTGAAGGTTTTGAGGAACGTGGAAAACTTTCATATCACCAGTTCCCGTACGCTCTCAGAAGCTAAGCAATGTTGAGTCTGGTCAGTAACAAGGTAGGTGACCGCTTGTGAATTTAGGTTGTGTAAGCTTAGAGATGCAGGAAGCATAAAACAGGAGTCGGAAACATATGGCACGCGTGCTATACGTAGCACGCCAGATAATTTCCAATGGCACGCAGCTGCAAATGACATCACAAAGTTCTTTCAATTTTAATATATACGAAAGTATATATACTATATATTACTGTATAAAATATATTGTAAAACAGGTATATTGACCTTGACTTGTATAAAAATACGTCTGCTATTGGCACACTGAATGATTTTAAAACCCTAAGTCGGCACATAGTTATTTAAAGGGCTGCCGACCCTGGCTGTAAAATTAAAATTTCCCGAAATTTTGGATTCCGAGCAAAAGATGAAAATCCCTTTGGTTCGTTATTTAACCCATGGGTAAAGATATGTAGCCTGGGAAAGATATGAATCCACCTCTTTTCTCTCCAGTTATGGGTTAATTCAGTGTTTCTGTTTTAACCTAGGGAAGGTTACTGAATAGAATAATCAAACGAAGGTTGGTAATGAACGATAATACTTAAGACAAGACGAACGCATATAAGATTCGCCAGCGGCGGGTAGAAGAAGTAGTCAAATGCTAAAAGTGAGTCAAGTGAATTCCACAATGAATCTCCTACTGCAGGATACCTACCAGTTGCCCCACGCGGTCAGATGTGGCACAAGGCCAAATTTAATGTGGGGCATACGAGCCCGTAGGCTCGACCAAAGTTTCCCCATAGATCCCGTATAAAACGCGGTCGGGTAGCTGTTTCCCGAATCGAGAGTCTGCCCTTCGGCATAGCTCCGTCTGAGGATCTTCTCCTCCCGGAAGCAGAGCGTTTGAGCAGCCCAGCTGGAGACAAATATCTAACTGCAGGATATCTACCAGCTGCCCCACGCGGTCATGTGTAGCACAAGGACGAATTTAATGTGGGGTATTCGAGCCTGTATCCTCGGTCAAAAATTTCCCGTAGACTCCGTATAAAACGAGGTCGGGTATCTGTTTCCCGAGACAAGACTCTGCCCTTCGACACAGCTTCGTCTATGGATTCGCTCTACGCGGAGGCCAGAGAGTTTGACCAGCACAGCTGGAGACGACTTTCCAAATGCAGACCGACATACTGTATTTATTACTGTATTTATATGAATGAGGACATATCCATTATCGTCCGTAGATAAGCTACAAGAGTTTCTTAATCTTTCTAAGCACCGACATACCTAGAAGCAAATGAAAATATCACGACACATTTAGAAAAAATTTAAAGTTATTTAAATGTTATGAAATAAAACCATAGATTAAAAAAACGTAGACACACAAATATAAATTTATTTCAGTGTTTTTTTTCCAACTATTTGTGCAGCTTATTTAGGTGTGAAATCGTTATTCTATTTTCATCACACACACACACACACAAACACACACACACACACACACACACACACACAACACATATATATATATATATATATATATATATATATATATCTATATATATATAATGAGCATGGCCTGGCGTTGCCTGTGCTTGATTCAAAAAAAAACACGACTCATACAGCAATCGCTATCACTTCTTAAAATATTTTTGCCTTCCTTGCCTTTTAAAGGAGTGCCCTTTGCCGTGCTGATGTTGCTACATGCCATACTTCTTGCCTATCTCACACTGCGAATTTTTTTCTAAGATCTATACTAAACATTAAATCTGTTACGAAAAAAGAACTAAACAAAATGAACACAAAAACGATCAGTTTAAAAAAAAAGGACTTTTAACTGAAAAAAAGAATGTTAACAACAAAAACTTTTTCACATCCAACCCAGTTCTGCGGAATCAGAATCAATGTTGAGTTTAAGCAAGCGAATGAGCCAATTGGAGTAAAGTGCCTTGGGGTTTAAATTTTTCCCACTTGTGACGAATGCAGCTATCGATTTTTTTTGCATGCTAGCATGCTAGTTAACATTCGTGTCAGTCAGCTGTTGGCTCTCACGCAGGCCAATAGAATCTCCCTGCATATTTGTGGCAGCCAGCTATAGGCTCTCACTCTGGCCAGTAGAAAATGGCCGCAAACTACATGAAAACTGCTGTAGAAGCTTGAAAATTCGATTATTTCCACTATCGATGGGAGTTGGGAAATGCCTTTTATAGATAGAGATACATGCTGTGACAATATTTCGCGTAACACTTAAGAGGATCACATGGCACACTGTTGTGCTGTGGTATGGCAGTCAAGAATCACTTGGTTAATTAGTACGAATTTTATCACTAAATCATTATTATTTCTACCACCAACTATTCTTCCAATCTAAAATTATTTTCTGGCTTTAAATAACCAGCAAAAGTTTGATAAGCCGTAGAAATCTAATCCATAAATTATTCAATCAATCAATCAACCTTACACGCAATTACCATTGGAAAAAATACGAATCTATCACTTCTCCCCCAGCTATGGGTTAAATAGCAAGAAATACTGTTGAACCCGTCTACCTCCGAAAGAAACGCGAGTCTACTATAGGTAGGCTTAGTCAGGAATGAAACGAAAGAGGCACGTTTAAACGTGTATCATGTATGGCACGTAACTGATGCCATTTGCACCTCAAAGCCTTCACACGTTCGGTCATGATGACAACATTCATAAAGTATTTTTTTTATTCTTTTAAATTCCATCTCACCATCAAGACATAATTGATCATGGCTTTCTACAGATTCCGTTTTTTTATTATCTTAGACTGTTTCTTAAGAAAGTTAGTGGAATGGTTTTCAAATGTATTCTTAGCAGTTTTAGAATATATTGGTTCTTCTCTTGGAGAGCATACTCTCTTCTGGTACTTTAATCCTAACCGAGGTTCGAACAGATAGACTCGTGCATCTCCCAAGGTCATTTGTGCAAAAGTGATTTCAACAAACGACACTAGAATTTGAAATCGAATCAGTGATTCCATTTTCGGCGCTGACAACGGTTGTCTGAACATCCACTGATTCCATATTAATATTACAAAAAGCTAATACGAGAAGGCGATTTGAAGGAGAAGAACTAAATAAATGAATAAATAAATAAAGAAAGAAAGAAAGAAAGAAAGATAAAAGAAAAAGAAGGAGAAGAAGAAGAATGATAAGTAAGGCATGAAAATGAAATCCTTAGAAGACGAAGAGGAAGAAGACAGAGAAGAAGAAAGAAGAAATAAAGAAGAATGATAAGCAAGTTATGAAAATGAAATCCTTTGAAGAGGAAGAAGAAAGACAAGATAATGTTGAAGAAAGAAGTAGAAGAAAAAGAAGAATTTTTCTTCTTCTTTTTCTTCTACTTCTTTCTTCAATTTTTTCTTCTCATGTCGTTTTCTTCTTGAAAACGAAGAAGAATAAGTTATGAAAATGAAATCCCCAGAAGAAGACGAAAAAGAAGAAAAAGGAAGGAAAAGTTACGAAAATGAAATCTTTATAAGAAGAGGATAGAAGAAAGAAGTATAAAAGAAAAAAGAAGAAGAATGATATGTTCTGAAAATGAAATCCTTAGAAGAAGAAGAAGAAGAAGAAGAAGAAGAAGAAGAAAAGAAATGAAAGAAGAAAGATGAAGATAGAAGTAGTAGTACTAGAAGAGGAAGAAGAAGAAAAACATGTTGATAAAGAAGAAAACGAAGAATAAGTTATGAAAATGAAAACGTTGGAAGAATACGAAGAAGAAAAAGAAAGAAGAAGAAGAAGAAAGAAGAAGAAGAAGAAAAGAAAAAAGTAGAATGATAAGTAAGTTATGAAAATGAAATCTTTAAAAGAACATGAAAAAGAAAGAAGAAAAATAAGTTATGAAACTGAAATACTCAGAAGAAAGAAGAAGAAAGTAGAAAAACAAAAAGAAGAAGTTTTGAAAATGCAATCTTTAGAAGAATGAGAAAAAGGAAAAAGGAGAAAGAAGAAAAAGAAGACGTACGTTAGGAAAATTAAATCCTTAGAAGACGAAGAAGAAAAAGTAAGTTAGTAAAATGCAATCCTTAGAAGAGGAATAGTAAATAAGCTTGAAGAAGTGCAATGAAATATAAGATGAAGAAGAAAACGAGGTGGAATGGTAAAAAAAAAATTAAAGAAGAAAAAGAAAAAAAAAACCTCTGTTGACCAACAAACGTAAGATAAAATCAAATAACATCGACGAAAATCCAAAGGAGAAAATCATGAAAAATGAAATAAAAAAGCAAGCAACGAAAGAAAAAAATGAGGATAGAATAGGCAAATAAAGAAAGAAATGAAAAAAATTAATAAAAAAAAAAAAATTAAAAACAAGGTCGACAATTGAAGAGAAGAAAAAATGAAATTTTCGAATTACCAGAAAAAACAAAAAAAAAAACAAAACAAAAAACCAAAAAAAAAAGACACAAAGAAATAACAGGAAAATAATTGAAATTCTTTTTATTCCATACGTACGTTCGTCTGTGTTTATTCCCATGCGTTTGTCTCTGATTGTCTGAATGTGTATGGATGTATTTCATGTCATCATAACACAACATTTGCTGGAAATACTCCTATTTCCTCTCATGAATATGGTTACACGTGCGCATGCGTGCTCGCGACATTCCACATTAAAACATTTGTAGCCTGTAGATAGATAGGGATGGTCCCGGGAGTCCTTTTCACCTTCCTCTTATCCGCACACCCTTCGACTGGAGACGTCCTTCTCTGTCCTTAATCATGGGGTGAACGTTAGAAACGAGATTTTAGAGGACATTGGATCTCGGAAAGTGCTGGTTGATGAGGGGAGAAATGCCAGCCGCAGGGGTGGAGTTACCGTGTCATGATGGGGTTGGACAGTAATCGTCTTGATTGTGGCACGTCAGTGGCAGATAAAAAAGATGGTTCTTACCCATTGCCCTGGGAAAGAAAAAAAAAAGAAAGAAAGAAAGAAAGAAAGAGAGAGAGAGAAAAGAAAGAAAAAAAAGAAAGGAATGAATAAATGAAGAAAGAAAGACAGGCAGAAAGAAAGAAAAGAAGAAAGAAAAGAAAGAGAGAGAGAAAGAAAGAAAGGAAGGAAAGAAGAAAGGAAGAAAGAAAGAAATAAAGAAGGAAAGAATAAATAAAAAAATAAACAAATAAAAATAGAAAGAAAGAAAGAAAGAAGGAAGAAAGAAAGGAAGAAAAAAGAAGGAAGAAATAAAGAAAGAAAGAAAGGAAAGAAAGAAGAAAGGGAGAAAGAAATAAATAAAGAAGGAAAGAATAAATAAATAAATAAACAAATAAAATTAGAAAGAAAGAAAGAAAGAAGGAAGAAAGAAAGGAAGAAAGAAAAGAAGGAAGAAATGTAGAAAGAAAGAAAGGAAAGAAAGAAGAAAGGAAAGAAAGAAATAAAGAAGGAAAGAATAAATAATTAAATAAACAAATAAAAATAGAAAGAAAGAAAGAAAGGAAGACAGAACGGAAAAAAAAGGGAGAAAATAAGGAAGAAAGCAACAAAGAAAGAAACAATTAAAGAAAAGAAAGAAAGAAAAGAAGGAAGAACGGAAGGAAGGAAGGAAGAAATAAAGAAAGAAACTACAAAAATAAAGAAAACTGCTAAAATGAATGAATGATGAAAAAAAGCAGAAAAGAAATTGAAGTGAGACGAAAGAAAATATAAAGGCTCGAAGAAAAAATTAAACTCGAAGAAAAAATTAAAAAATGAAGAAAAAATGAACACGAAAGAAATAAGACTCAAGGAAGAAAAAGAATGAATATATATAAAGTAAAGTGACACACAAAATAAGAAGAAAAAGATGTGGGAAAGAAAGAAAGAAAAGAAGAAAGAAAGAAAGAAAGAAAGAAAGAAAGAAAAAAAAAAAAAAAGTAAAAGCAACAAAATAGGAAAAAGAAGGAAAAATAAAAGAATAAATAAAAATGAAGAAAGAAAGCAATAAAGCAAAAGGGAAGAAAGAAAGAAAGAAAGAAAGAAAGAAAGAAAGAAAGAAAAGATAGATTAAAAAGAAAGAAAGAAAAGAAATTAAAAGCGAAGAAAGAACGAAAGAAAGAAAGAAAGAAAAAAGAAAGAAAGAAAGAACAAGGGAAGATTAAAAAGAAAGAAAAGAAATTCAAGGCGGAGAAAGAATATCAGAAGTAACGAAAGAAAGAAAGAATTATTAAAATTTGAAAGAAGCTGGCGGAAAAGGTAGAACAGAAGAAAGAAAGAAAGAAAGAAAGAAAGAAAAGCCTATTTGAAAAGAGGAGGAAGACTACGGTGATCAGGCGAAAGAAAGAAAGAAAGAAAGAAAGAAAGAAAGAAAGAAAAAAGAATGAAAGAAATTATGAAAAAGAAATTATGAGGAAAAAGAATGAAAAAGAAAGAAAGGAACAAATAAACTGAACAAAGAAAAAGAAAGAAAAGAGAGAAAACATTTTTCAATATTGGAAAGAATATAAATTTATATGAAACAAGGCAGAAAGAAAGAAGACGAGAAATTGAAATTATGAGAAAAAAGAAAGAAAACGGAAACGAGAAAGAAAGAAAGAAAGTAAACTAGACACTGAAATTATGAGAAGAAAGAAAGAAAATGAGAAAGAAAGAGAGTAAACGAGATTTTGAAATTATGAGAAAAAAAAGAACGAAAAAGGAAAAGACAGAGGAAGGAAGGAATGGGGGAAGGAAGAAAGAAAGAAATGAACAAAGAAAGAAAGAAAGAAAATGACTCATTGAAACTGTGAGAAAAAAGAAAGAAAAAGGAAAAGAGAAAGAAAGAAAGTAAACGAGACATGGAAATGAGAAAAAAGAACGAAAACGAAACAAAGAAAGGAAAAAAAGAAAAAAGAAAAAAGAAAGAAAGGAAAAACAGAAAGTAAGAAAGAAAGAAAGGAAAAAAGAAAGAATCAAAAAAAGAAAGAAAGAAAAAAGAAAGAAAAAAAGAAAGAAAGGAAAAAAAGAAAGAAAAAAGAAAGGAAAAAAGAAAGAAAGAAAGGAAAAAAGACAGAATGAAAGGAAAAAAGAAAGAAAGAAAGAAAGAAAAAAGAAAGAAGGGAAAAAAGAAAGAAAGAAAGAAAGAAAGAAAGAAAGAAAGAAAGAAAGGAAAAGAAAAAAGAAAGAAAGAAAAAAGAAAGAAGGGAAAAAGAAAGAAAGGAAAAAAGAAAGAAAGAAAGAAAGGGAAAAAAGAAGAAAGGAAAAAAGAAAGAAAGGAAAAAGAAAGAAAGGAAAAAGAAAGAAAGAAAGAAAGAAAGAAAGAAAGAAAGGAAAAAGAAAGACAATTAAAAACATCGGGAAGAAATATGAAAAGATTATAGATTTCATAAAAAAAGTAGAAAAAAATAAATAAAAGAACATAAAATTCATAAGATAAAAAGAAATAACATGGACATCACCTATCGTCGGATAGTAATTGTGAGTTCAATTCCTGGGCAAGGTAGTGCTGACTCCGATTTGGTGGAGACAGAAAGAGAAAAAAAAGACTGACCAGTACTAGAAATAAAGAACAAGATGAGGTTAGACGTGAACAGCGGAAAGAGTACAATCTCCCCACGTAGATTAAATGAAGTCTTAGAAGCTTATTCGGATCAATAGACAATAGATCAATAGGCCGGAGGATACAAAGACCGAAACATCGTGATATTAGCAACACAGATGCGAAAAGGAGTCATATTGTATATAATATAAATAATAACCCCTCTTCATCCCACGTGTGTCTCTAGGGGTTAGATAGTTTGAGAGAGATTACCACTCTTCAGGCTGCTTTTAAATTCGGATTTGTTTTCATAAAAAACTGGATGCCCTATCAAGGTTATAAAGCCTAGTCTACTATTGTATTTAGGTTGGGGGATGAATTTGGAATCTATTCTACTAGACTGGCTGACACTCAAGGCAAGGGAGATTAGTTGTTTGCCTTATTATTTGAAATGGACTCATGCCTTTTCGAAGAACCAAAGGACATCTGCAAACTTTAAACCGTTTAAAGACGGATAACAAAACGCTTATAGAAAGTGAGAAAAAGTTTTACTTGTATTCATCGGAGCACATGGATTAATACCTTGAAGTATATCTGAATCAATGACAAAAGCAAGAATTTGCATGCTCCTTGAAACCTATTGTGAGAAAAAGTGTTACCTGTACTCTACGGAGTACTTGGAGTGATGACTTGATGTGTATCTCAAACAATGCCAGCATCAGGTTTATGCATGTGACTTGAAACCCATTGTGAGAGACAGTGTTACCTGTACTCCTCAGAATACTTGGAGTAATGATTTGCGTCCTTAACCTTATTGTAAAGTCGTTAAGACATCATGAGGGGCAACGGCAGAAGCAAGTGTTCTGGCTCGAGCTATGAATAAATAAAATCCAGAACAAGCCTATCCGAATGCAGGACTAGTTTCAGATTTTGAAGAGACAGTTGAGGTTTCTGGGAATATAATGTGGAGGTGGGGACATTGGGAAGATGTGATACTCACGGGTTAGATAGAGGGCTAAAGGGACAGAGGAAAACAACGCATAACATATTTAGTGTACTTCATTAAATGGATGGCGGAACGGGCTTAGAATAAATAGCACAGAGTTTATTAATAGCTACAAGGGAGAGGATGTTGTGGAGAGCCGTGATGGCCTACGTCCTGAGGGGAGTCGGCTCATAAAGAAGACTAACAGACTGGAAGCCTGATCAAGGTTAAAGACACCAGTTTGCCTTACTATTTCACTATAGCTAAAGGGAGAAGAGAAACGATTTATTAATGTCTTTTCGCAAACGCAAAGTGAAAAAGAAGTCGTGGCCGGGATTCGACCTCGTTTAGCCGGTTTCATTTCTTACTTTAATAACAGTTACACCAACCACACCTTGATGGATTAACTAAAAACGGATTCTACCAAAAAAATTCATCAACTAAAAACGGAAATATTTAAACTATTTACATTGTTCGTATTGTTGCCTGTCCTCATCTTCGTTGTCATATTTACGATCTTTCGCCTGTTGTACGCTCCGGCCTTCTTCAGCTGATTGGAATTTCGAACTGAACCCTTTATTTCATCCACAGCAATCCACCGGGCCGTGTATCCTGGAGGACGCATGGCTCAGTGGATATAAGCGTTGATTGAATCCAGTGAATTGACCCTTAAGAGTTGTGAGTTCAATACCTCGCTACAGCTGAGAGGAACAAAAAAATGGAGAGTTGAGTAAAGTAGTACTGAGACATCCGGAAAAGGCATGGCACGTGGAACAAGAACAAAATACCTCAATGAACGAAATAAAGGGTTCAGTTTGAAATTCCAAGAAGGCCGGAGCGTAGAAAGGTCATGAATATGGCAACGATTATGAGGACAGACAACAGACTGAACAATAGTGTACATAATTATAATACTTCATCTCAAAAATAAAGACAGATATTAAAAACACAATGCTCATTATTGATCCATTTTTAAAAGCTCCAATTTTCAGTCTAGAGAAAACTGCCAAACTCTTTTGCTCGAATAAGAGGGCATTTTTGTTTTCTTGAATTGAATTTCAACTTGTACTGTGTCTTGGAGCGACGTAGAAGGTTACAATGTAAGAGGCACAGTTTATGTTTTGAAGATAACAGTTACTCTTAGAATTGAATAGGTGTTGCGTTCTGTGTCGTTTCTGGGTCCCCAGGTAAGCATATAAAATGGTATCAACTAAAAGGACTATTTCTTATTCGTTTTATTAGGAGAGAGTGGTGGCAGCTTGGATTCTAAGAGGCAGCGGGAGAAATGATGCCTCGTATACGCATGAGAACGTTGGCCCGGCTTCCCTCCGCGGGTGCCAGACCCATTCGGTGGGGACGACAAGCGACAGCCTTCGATCCGAGAGTCGGGTTGTTTGGGAACGCAGCCCAAAACGGGTGCTAAGCTCCATCCCAAGGCTAAATACCTGCACTACTCCGATAGTCAACACGTATCGGCTAACAGTCTGTAATATGGGCATGGAAAGCCTATCAAGGCTTCCAAATTCTTGCAGCTCTCTCTTGAATTACCGCCGTTTTGGACTTATATCCAAAATCCTGTCAGAATAGCATGCCCACTAGTTACTCCGGCCAATCGCTAAACATTCTCTGACATTCGAATTTTGTAACACAGGTTAAGAGTGTAATGATCGGAAAAAAAACTCTTGAGAGTCGGTTCTATGCATCTGCAGTTCGCGGATAGAAGCTCTTCGAGTTGATCTTACATCTCAAAAATGTATAAGAAGGAAATGGATTTTTGAAGATCAAATTTGACTGGAAACCAAGAAGCCGTAAGAAAGTTCCAGGTGCGTGAGAGAAGAAACCGTCAGCATAGAACTAACAGTTTCATCAAGCCATTTCAACTGTAAAATGATGAGACCTATCTGCCAATCTAATACTGCGTTTAAATTTGTAAATTCGAGGAATCAAAAAGAAAAGCTCGCCAGAACAATTACCATGGAAATATTTGTAGAAATGACACAAGGAAGCTATGTTCCGGCGGTGGGAAAGTGACTGAAGACGTGATGCCAGATTAGGAGGAGTAATATTGAAAAATAAAATCTGTCTTTTATGTTAAATAGTAATGTTTTCTTAAGCGATTTTGATTTTATTTTATCAAACGCAAGGATAAGCAAGAGACATACTGGCAAATGCTTCTATACTAATATGGAACAATGAAAAGCGTGCGTGCATGATGCCTTCAAGTAATTCCGAAATCGAACAGAAGCAATCGTCCTTCAAATCTGGGAAGAATACAGAAAGCCGAATTGACCTTATTTATCCATTCATTTCTCGCGAGTATAAATGCAGAAGTGTACATAAAAAAAAAAAAAGAAGTCGACTTTCGTTTCAAACACCACGATTATCGGCTAGCCAAAATGGCGACGGTGACGTCATACCAACATGGCGTCCAGAATTCCGTTGAATGTCGCGTAATTCCACTGACTAAGCGGAATTTCCCGCCACTACCGTCACCGTTAGCCATCTTGGAGAAAATATCGGAAATGTTGACGTAAGAAAATTCGGTGGAACAGGGGGGTTTTTAAGTTGAACTTTGACCTTTGATCATTTTTTATGCACATTTTTTTTTTTACGTACCTTTTAAACATTTTCTCTTCTCCCTACATTTTTCACCTGTACACACAACCTTTCACTCTTATCTATGTAGTGATCAATCGATCAAGCAGTATATATTCTTTTCTTATCTATGTCAAAATCAACTCGGCTAGTTTAGCCTAGCCACCTCATTCATTTATTGATCTCTTTTCAAGCATATACATTATCTATTAATTTCTTCATCTCCACTCAAGTTTGGCTTGCATCTATCTATCTATCTATCTATCTATCTATCTATCTACTTATACACTACGAAATGGATAAAGTCGGACAATTATTTTAATATATTTTATTGTTATACGTTATTTATATAGACACAAATATTTAAGTAAATACTCTGTTTATAATAAACAGTATTAACAACATTTACCGACCTGAACGTCTGAGAAATTTTCATAGATAATATGTGTCCTCGGACAGGAATCGAACCTATATCCTACACAGAACCGTCATATAGCTACAGAGGAACTGAACTATTTTTATATTTCGTGTAGGATACTGGTTTCAGTGTTTAAGGAAAAAATATTTGGATATTAAAATTTCTCGATTAAAGATATGTGCCGATAAATGAAATACCTCGAATTATAAACAGAGCATTTACTTAAATATGTAGATCCGGTATAAAAATAACTATTCCTCTTAAAATAATTGTCGGCTTTGTCCATTACATAATATATGGCGTCATTTGTTCACGTTTAGATATGCTTCGAGCAGGAAATCATGGAAAATTGTAGTTTAAAAGCAATAAAATCGATCTTCCTAACCAGACGTTCCTCTGTAGCTAAACTGGTACAGCACGTCAGGCTATATGAAGGTTACGTGCAGGATACAGGTTTGATTCTTATCGGGGGACACATATTTTCTATGAAAAATTCTCGGACGTTCAGGCCGTTAAATGTTGTTAATACTGTTTATTACAAGCAGAGCATTTACTTAAATTCCTGTGTCCATATAAGTAACGTATAACAATAAAATATATTAAAACCATCTATCTATCCCAATCTAATTTAAATAATCTGTCTATCTATCTATTCTATATCTATCTATCTGGTAATGGAACGTCATCTATCTATCTTCTATTGATCTATCTATTTGAGTCTTCACTATCTATCTATCTATCTAAATCTTCTAATATACATTATATATATCTATTGATTCTTTATCTATCATATTTAACAATCTGCTTTTCTTTTTTTATGTTTTTTAAATACATCTAAATTCTTTCTTTTTTCAACAAATAATGTTATTAAACTTATTCTACTGTCTATTTATCTATTCAAACTAATTTGTCTATATTATTTAATAAATAATATATATATATCTATATATATATATATATATATATATTAAATTTTCTAGTCAATTTATTCGAGGAGACAAAGTCTATCTTGGTCTCTTCATGTCTATCTATCTTTAAATCTTCATATCTCCTATCTTGGTACAAAATCCCATATCTATCTATCTGGTCTCTTCATATCTATCTATATTTGCTAAAATGTCTATCATATCTAAATATCTATCCATATATTCATTTATATTTAAATCTTTATGTCTTTCATATCTGTCTATTTTGGTTTTGTTTATCTATCTGTCTTTCTATCTTCATATCTGTCTATCTTAAAAGCATTCTTTCTATCTATCTTTCTAATAGATTCTTTCTAAAATTTTCATCTTTCTATCTAATATCTTATCTATTTGTCTATCTATTACTATATCTATCTTGGTTTCTTATTATTTATCTTTCTTTCTTTCTTTCTATCTATCTTGTCCCTTCTTTTATCTATCTTGGTTCTTTCTATCTATCTTGTCTTTTCTTCTTCTCTCTATCTTTTTATATATCTCATATCTATCTATCTTTTGTCCCTTTCATGTCTATCTATTTGGTTTATCTATCTATCTATCTGTCTATTTATGTCTTCTGTCTGTCTATCTTGGTCTCTTCTATGTTATATATATATTTTCATATATATTCATATCTATCTATCT